GTGACTTGGAAAGACTCGCTAAGAGACATACCTTCAGAATGAATATCATGCAAAATTATTTGAAAATTTTGAACTTGAGAAATTACCGTTTGGGGGAGTCTACCATAACGAAGTCTAGAAATTTACCGACAAGAAATTTCTTTGTGCCGGCATCCTTTGTCTTGTGTTTTTTTCTCCAAAGAATCTCACAATTCTTTTGCTGTTTTCAGAGAACTGTAAACATTATACAACATGTTGTCAAGGCCATTAAGGATGTAGTTTCTGCACATGAAATCAGAATATTTCCTAGCATCTACAGCAGCAACAACTTGCCGATCACTTTCATCCTCTCTAAGTACTAGAGCCTCTTCACGGAGAAACCGGGCCAAATTTAGAGTTATAAGATAGAACAACATTTTCTGCTGTCATCTCTTAAACTCAGTGCCATTAATTTTTTTTTCAATTTTTCTCCATGATTATCAGAACTTGAACTTGGTTCTGGATATGGATCGGAGTCGTTGTAACGATCGTATTTGGAGTACTACTTTTAGCAGCCATAATATCTGATTACAAAAATAAAAAATAAAAAACAACACACAAATTAATTTTCTAGTTACTAAAACTAGAAAATAAATCATAACACAAAATAATTTTATTTTCCTTGTTACTAAAACTAGAAAAATAAAATATCAAAATAATTTTCTGTAACACAAATTAATATTCTGCAATTGTTAATGGCACCAGTATATTACTACTAGTTATCAAAAAAAATAAACAGTATATTACAACTATTTATCAAACAGTATATTACTACTATTTGTATTTTCCAACCAGAATATCATTTTGTGAAATCACAGAAAATTAAATACAATGAAGACACAAAAAAAAAAAAGAATCTGTCTTAAGATTGTTGGACAATCTTCATTGTATTTAAAAATAAATTATGTTTATGTACTTAACAACAAACGGAATACAGAAGAATTAAAGAAAAGAATAAAGTTTGTTTGATTATAAAAATCAAAGCATAAAATAAAATAAAATAAATAAAATAGATTTTTATTTTGTTACAAAAGTAAAATCAAAATCTGAAAAAAAAAATTAATAAAACAGAAAAGTAAATTAATTGCTTACCAAATTAATTTCTTGAACAAATTTTTGATCAAGTTCAGTGTTTAACATTGTGTCCTTAAGACAAATTTGTCCTCTCCAAGGTGTTTTCAGATTGTGGACGTCTATCTCTCAGGATAAAATGATCAACAACAAACAATAGTAGCACTACAAATTGTTTGCACAACAAACACACTTTGTGTTTATACTATCTCTCACAAGAAAACAATGCAACAAAATGTAGAGAGAGTAGGCAGAGTTAGGGACAAAATTGGAGTAAAAACCAAATGAGAGACTGGTCTTATTTATAAATGATTTCATGGCTGTACAGATTTGAATGAACAGGTGTAAAACCTGTTCGGTTTGAATGAACAGGTAATGTGGCTGTTGGGTTTAAATTCAAATATATATGAATCTGTTCGGGTGGCGAAAAAATTAGAATTTAATTTTTTAGAAAAATAAAAGTCCAATGTTTTTGGCCGGACAAGCCCAACCCAACAACACACCTACGCCAAAGCCTAGCACGACCGACCGGACGGGCGGCGGCGCGTGTTTATTTTGGGTCCAATGGGTCTAGCCCATAACCTTCCTCTCTACAAAACTTGGGTGCCCCTTGGGGCTACCCCAAGTTCCAAACTCAAGCCTTATAAACCCACTCAAAGTATGCCCACTAAATCAATGTGGGACAAGCTTTAAACCACACCTTTAAGAAATTTTCACCAAAATTCCATTTTCATGAAGCTCACTTTGACTTCAATTTTTCATTCATCCGATAATGGTTTTGAGCAACCAAATATACCATGTGAATCAAAACGCGACATAGAACGCGTTACCACTTAAATATGTCAACTTTGGCATATGGATCCCACCTAAAAAAATAGACTAAAGTTAAGGAAAAATCATATTTTCTAAAACCATTTCTAAGAGTGCCCTGCCTAACTATACTAAAAATAGTGTGGAACATGAAAGACTACAATTTGGAATCGAAACGAAACAATGTTTTAAATGGAAAATGTTTTTCGTTGAAAGAAACAGAGGTTCATTTGGAAATTCAGATATGTTTTCATTTTTTAAGAAAAACGAAAGTCTGACCCATTATTCAAATCTAAAGAAGCAGTTATTGAGAGCATGATATCATGCGAATTTTAAACAAATCATTCTGGAGAGCAAAGCTTTCAGGCTACTTGTGGAAACCTCCTCCTCCTCCCTCTTTTCATTAAAGTCAATTCAGACTTTGCTTTTAACTCCAACTGTGAATTTTTTTTGTTTGTGTGTGTGTGTGTTTGGGGGGGGGGGGGGGGGGTTGTTGGCCAATAAATTTTTTTGGAGAAATTATGAAATTTTGAAAAAGTAATTAATTATTAATATTTATAAAATTATTATTAATTTGTAATTACTTTTTGAAAGAACACTAATTTGATATTTTCTATTAATTTTAGGCTTTGATCTCAGTTATTTTAAATGTTTTGTTTTTTGGGTAAGTTATTTTAAATGTTCTTGAAAGGCTTTAACTTGAGCTTTTAGAAACTTCGAATTTTAAGCACGCAATAAGCCACTTGTTGGTTCAAAAATTATCATATGAGTCAAGAATATCACGTGGCCATATGCGCATTAAATAATGCATTGTGTCATATGGATCAAGAATATGCACATTAAAAAATGCATTGTGTCATATGGATCAAGAATATCACGTGACCGTGTGCACATCAAATAATGCATTGTCATTCTTCTGTTATATATATATATATTTTTTGATTTTATATAATTATTAAATCCTTACTATTAGTTGGCCACATCACTAACTTGAAATTTCTGAAAAAATGATATAATAATCTCACTTGGGCCAAGTGAGCTTTTGTTTATGCATAACAGGTAATGCTTTTTTGGACCATTGGGTGGGCCCATCCTAATGTCATGGAAGGCAAAACATTTTTTGGCTACTGGACAGGCTAATTTATTGATGGAAGACAAAACCATTTTGGAAGATTTACAACTAGTAAGATTTATTTATCTGTAAATTCTGTTCTTTTTTTGACTTATCAATGTCTTTAAAATACCATTCATTTACTTTCTTCATCTCTATTATCAACACTATTATGACTCTTCTCTTTCGTCAACAACCACCTCTAATCACTGGTGGTCACCTCAAGCACCGGTGACCACCTCTGGCAATAATTTATGACAATATCTTTGAATTGTGTCAACAAAAATAATGTCTATCACCACTACATTGCTACTGTCACCATCTCTACGACTCGGTCATATTTACACACATATTTACACACATACACTTACTGTCATTTATTTATATACTTATTTATCTAAAAAATGCAACCACATAGACATATATAACCCAAACTAATCTAATAAATTTATTAGAAACACATTCAATGATAAATTTATCGCTGATTGATTTTAAAAATATTACAAATAAATTTGATTCACTCGCTTATAGTCATGTTCGCTCACTTACATACAAGAACCCACCTTTATCTGACATGCACAAAAGAAACAATACAGATTGATAAATTTATCATTGAGAATAAATAAATAAATAAATGAATCCATCATAGATCAATAAAAAAAATCAATAAAAAATTAAAGATACATTAAGTGATAAATTTATCACTGACAAAATTCTTCAAACATTAACTTATAAGAAGTTGATAGATCTACAAGGAAAGAAGGGTGAGATCTAGAAAGAAAAAAAAATACTAAAAATCAAATCAAATCAAAACAAAACCAAAAAATAAAAAATCTCCTTGATTGGAAAGATTTTTCAAATTCTGACAAGATTCTCAAGGTTGTTTCCAATGGATCTTTGATAATGGGTTGTAGATTGGCGATGATGGAACATAGATTGAGAAAATAGAGTGCAGATTGATGATAGTGTAGGTGTTTGATGAACGACAGTGGCTAATTGGTGGCGGTGGAGTGTAGATCAAAGATGGTAAATTGTAGATCGGCAACCGTCGAAATGGTTGGTGAAGGTGGTGAATAGCAATTGTGGTGATGGCTATGGTGGTGGTGCACAGTGGTTGTGGTGATGATGCATAGTGGAGTAAAGTTCTTAGATTAGAGAGAGAGAGAGAGAGAGAGAAAGAGAGATCCAGAAAATTATAAACACATAAGAGATGATGAATACAATATTTAATGAGGGCATTAAAGGTATTTAAAGACTTCGTTCCAAAATTTATTAGTATTTAAGTTCATTTAATAGGATTGTGACAGTAATTGACCAAGTGTAGCAATGAAGATGCCACTGGATTTGAGTAGTGACATGTATGGAGGAAGCGATCAACTTGCAAAACTTAGCAACACGGTCATGATATGTATTATAATAGGTAATTTTATGCCATGACTGTACTGCTAAGTTTTGCAAGTTGATCGCTTCCTCCGTACATGTCACTACTCAAATCCAGTGGCATCTTCATTGCTACACTTAACAGCGTCAGCGTAGCGGCATTGATAGTGAAGAATTTGCACAGAAACCAAAGTTTTTGTTTGGAAATGCAGAGAGAGCATCGGCAACAATTGCTAAGAAGCAAATTAGAGATGCTAACATACATCCGATCCATGTCATTGGGGATTTGGGCGCGCAACGCTCAAAGCAACAGTGGCTGCAATTAGGTGATCGCGACACCAAATTTTTTTCATAAAATGGCATCGTGGAGAAGGATTCGGAATCATATTACCTGTGTGCGGGATGTGGATGGTAATGTTCTTACTGAACCAAAGGCTATTCAAGCAGCTTTTGTGGATCATTTCAAGAAATTATTTTCACCATCTGGAAGCTTAGCTGAGGACTCATCGGATACAGGTTCATATCCTTCTCATTTTAATATTTTAAATGCTATGCAATGTAAACTTTTATCATCCCCGGTTGAATTGCTAGAGCAACCTTTTACATTAAATGAAGTCCAAACTACTGTTTTCCAAATGGGCAAATTTTAGGCTTCAGGGCCAGATGGCTTCATAGCAGGTTTTTATCAAAAGTACTGGGTAGAAGTGGGTGAGTCCGTAGGAGATTCTGTTTTAAATTTTCTTTGCTCCGGGTTTTTGAGTAGGGCCTTAAATAAAACACTTCTCTGCTTAATTCCAAACAAAGAGTCCTTTAACGGTGATTGATTATTGCTCCATTAGTCTTTGCAATGTGTTATATACAATTGGGGCGAAAGTTTTGGCAAATAGATTAAGAAATATCTTTACCAGATTTGATTTCTTTCAATCAAGGTGCGTTTTTAAAAGGACAATTAATTTCAGATAATATTCTTTTGGCCCATGTGCTTGTTGAATACATCAAGAAAAAAAAGAGATGGGGGTAAACGAGTCTTTGGTTTGAAATTGGATATGAATAAGGCTTATGATAGGGTCAATTGAGAATTTCTCATAGCAGTACTAACTAAAATGGGATTTTCGTCGACATGGGTGTTATTGATTTCTCAATGTATTTTGAGTCGGTAACTTTTTCAATTCTGTTTAATGGGACCCAAACTGAATATTTTCAACCACTTGTGGGGCTAAGACAGGGTGATCATTTTTCACCCTACCTATTTTTGCTAGTCATGCATGCTTTAACAGATGGGTTTCAGCACCTGTCAAATCAAGGTATTTGTCGAGGTATTACTGTTAGTCGACATTCCCCAGCTATTTCACAGCTGTTTCTTGCAGATGATTGTTTTATTATCCAGAAATTTGACATGTCCGAAGTTTGGTGCTTGCAATGGTTCTTGAGTGCATTCGGTGATCAGTTGGGTTTGCATATTAATTTTAAAAAATCTGAACTTTGCCCTAGTCCGAATATGCTGAATCATCTCAAAAATTGGCTTGCGTCTTTGTTGGGTGTGAAATTGGTGGTACAGCCAGGGGTGTATTTGGGGGCTAATTTAGGATTTTGAGGCAGGTCGAAAGGCGAGATTTTTTGAGTTCTTATAGACAAAATACAAGGAAAATTACGAGGCTGGAAGTGTGATCTCTTGAATTTTGTATTGGTCCGACATGTGTTGCACTCCATTCCAGTATATTTAATGTCGGCCTTTAAGATGCCCAATTCCTTTATTGCTAAACTGACTAAATTGGTACAGGACTTTTTATGGAAATCTAACTGTGACCGAGGCATCTATTGGAAGAAATGGCTCCATGTGTTTTCCTTGCAATTGGGGTGGTTTGGAGTTTAGGGATCGTAGATGTTTTAATCAAGCTTTATTGGCTAAACAGGCATGGCAAATAGTGTCCAATCCAAATTTATTGTTGTCTATAGTCCTGTTAGGCAAATATTGCCAGCATCATCCCTTCTTGGAAGTCCCTCAAAACAGTCAATCTACATGGGGATGGCGGAGTATTTTATGGGGTCGAGACCTTTTAAACACGGGTTCAATGGGTTGTGGGTAATGGTAAAAATCTCTCTCCTTTTGAGGATCAATGGATACCGTTGATGTCTAATCCTTTACGAGGGAGGAACATGAATAGGATGTTGCCTTCTATGAAGGTAGCGCATTTTATTGACCATGAACACAGATGTTGGCGAGATAACTTGATTAGATTATTTTTTCCTGATGAATGTAGTAGACGTATTCTATCAACACATCTTGCCAGAGGGCAGTGAGGATAAATTGATTTGGCGACCAGTTAAGAGTGGGAAATATTCTGTCAAATCGGGATATAAACAAGCCTTGTTTTGTTATTTTCCGATTTACGGACAACAAAATAGAGATCAAATGGTATGGAAGAAATTGTGGAAACTAGGGCTCCCTCCGAAATGGGCTTTATTTAGATGGAAGTGTCTTCATAGATTGCTTCCAGTACAGTGGGAACTAAAAAAGTGAGGAATAGTGGTTGAGACAAAATGTGTTGGATGCCACAAGACCCGATGAAACTATCGAACATTTGTTTTTTTCATGCGATTTCTCACAGTGGGTTTGGAGAGGTTCTAGTTTGGGTCTGGACTTCAGTTCTGGAGTTTCAGTCCCCTTTTTCAGGTGGTTCACATGTATTGAGCAAATCAAAGACACAGATTATTGTACAATCGGTTGCTCTTCTTTGGGCTATCACTACAGGAAAATGGGGCTTAAAAGACGGAACTATTTGCGACGGTACACTTGCCGTCGCAAAAGGTGACTTTTTGCGACGGTAAAAAATACCGTCTCCTTGGGCAATTTCTTTTCGCACTAATGCTGCTAGTTTTTGTGATGCTGATGTAGGAAACGGCAGTAAACAATATAATCATCTTGTTTTCCATCAGGCATGCGAACAGATGGACACTACAACCACGTTGAGGCTTATCACGGATGGAGCATGAAAATCGGCTCAGACAGAAGCTGGTATAGCGTGGGTCTATGTGGATCACACAGGGCAGCTAGTTTTTTGTGATGCTGATGTAGGAAACGGCAGTAAACAATATAATCATCTTGTTTTCCATCAGGCATGTGAACAGATGGACACTACAACCACGTTGAGGCTTATCACGGATGGAGCATGAAAATCGGCTCAGACAGAAGCTGGTGTAGCGTGGGTCTATGTGGATCACACAGGGCAGCTCATATATCAAATGCAGCAAGAGTGAATCCTCTTCCTTGTACGACAGCAGCAGAAGCAATTGCCTGTCCGGAGGCTTTCGGGCAGGCAGTCTGGGATTTCAATGTTAATTATTCAAACCGATTGCCAAGTCTTGGTTCACATCCTTCAGAGTAAAGGCACAATATTAGATTGGCAGATTATGTCTATTGTTAATGATATTATTAACTCTTATAAGGATTTTGATTATGTAGGTATTAGTAAAGTTGATCCGAATGTAATTACACCAGCACATAAACTGGCAACCGATGTAATTAATGTCATCATATAATATTTTGTGGTTGTTCGTTCTCAAAAAAACAATCCATGTGGTGTTGGCCTAAAAAGGGAAAGAAAAAAAAAAGAGCTTTAGAAGAAAGAGGAAGTTGGGTAGTCCATTACAAAGAAATTCCAAAGTTACAATCTTGTAACAAAATAAAACTTAAATTCTAATATTTTGATTAATTTTTAATTTAAACCATTTACTTATTTTCATTAAGTAAAATTAAAAAAAATATATATTTTAATCATTAAACTCTATGTAAATATACATAAAATGTTTGAAATATCATTTTTATTGAATTTTATGATAAAAAAAATTATTATTTTATTAATTTTACTTAATAAAAATAGATAAATAGTTTAAATTAAAAATAAATAAAAATTTAAGATTTAAATTGATAAAATTAAAAGTATAAGATTTATTTTATGACAAAATTTAAACCCTATTTTTTTTTTTTAATTTCTCCAAAATAATTTCAATAGGCTTTTTAATTAGAGAGGTCAATTCAACCCACAACAATCCATGGACAATGTGGTGTGGGCCATGACAATACGCTAGCCCCTAGCTTTAAATGAAAAAAACAAAAAAATTAAAATAAAAAGTAGGGTAAGTTACACTTTCTCCTGAGGTTTACTATTATAATTATAGTTTTTTTTTTTTTTTTTAATAATTATACGGACTCCTCTACTTTCCAAAATAATACCAAGATTCTCCTCTCTCTCGTTAAAAGGATCCAAACGACATTAAGTTGCTTGTGAAAATTATCAAAACACCCTTCAACCACATTAAAGATAAAAATAAACTCAACCTTCTCATTCTTCTTTCATAGGTTTCATGAATCAGATACAAGAAAGGGAAAGGAAGGAAAGGGCAAAAACATAATGAAAAAAGGTTTGTATATCCTTATTCACTTTGTTCATTGCTTGTAGTGTATAAAAGATAAATAATTATATTCTTATAATTATCAATATAAAAAAATGCAAAAGTCAGTTGATAAAATTTTAATTCCCAACTCATGTAAATTATCAAAAGCAAAATAAAGAATGTGCTTTCAAATATTTTTCTTTTCAAAGGTTAATTGATGATTTTTTTTAAAATACAATTTTTATTTTTTTTAGTGACTCAAATATGAAAATAAACATTATGATGGAATAATCACTTTATTGCATTGCATTCTAGCGAATTGAACATAGTATAAGATGGTTGTGAAACATTTATCAATATATCACACAATGTAAAAAATAAATTTAGAAAATTTAAAATCAAATAGTTAAATAATTTTAGGGATGGATTTGTCTCAAATATAAATTTGAGCTTGGCCATTGTCATGTTTGGAATTGTAGGGCCTACCATGGGTCCTGATAATCAAAGCTGTTTATTTTGTATATCATTCATAAATAAATAAAATTAAGTCAATTTAGATAGTCATAATCTCTTCATTTTGTCACGTTTGTTTAAAAAAAAATAGATGGTCTATTTTCAAAAACATACTTATACTTGCCCTTTTTTGGGACAAACACAATAAATTAGAAATGTTACAATTATTAAACAGAACTCCACAAAATAAATGATTTTGATCATTGAAATGGGACCCGTGGTGTTCCCAATGTGTCCAATCATAACAGTCAAATTTAAATTTAAACTTAAAAGAAATTCAACCCATAATATTAGAGTTCTGCTAGGTAGCTCGAATGGCTTTTGGCCCGAATGGCTCGAGGTGCCAAAACGACGTCGTTTTGGCACCTCTTTTTCTTTTTTTTTTTTCTCTCCTTGGTCTTCGTTCCTTCCTTCTCTTCTTTGTTCCCCCTACTAAAAAATTAGAGAAAGAAGTTTAACAAAACCCTTCTCTTCTTCTTCAACAGCAGTTTAACAAAATCTAAATCTAAATCTAAAATTATATCTAAAATCAAAACCATATCCAAAACCAAACCCATAGTTTAACAAAATCAAAATCAAAATCTAAATCTAAAATGAAATCTAAAATCAAAACCAAATCAAAAACCAAACCCACAGTTTAACAAAATCAAAATCAAATCTAAATTCAAAACCAAATCAAATACCAAACCCACAGATTATTTTTTATATTTTTTTCCCTATTGGATCTTTGAAACAAAGGCAAAGAAGAGAGAAGAAGAGAAAGCATAGAAGAGAGAGGAAGAGAAAGAGAAAGAGAGAGAAGAGAGAGGAAGTTCTTTTGTGGTCCTAATTTCTTTTCAAATCTAGAGCTTCTTCTCATTTCCATTACTTTCTAATCCCAATTTCACTTTTTGCATTCTATTCATGTATGTAGGAGTACAGTTGAATGAAACAGAGGAGATGAGAGAGAAGAGGAGAGGAAACATAGATAGAAATAGAGAGGAGAGAAGAGAAGAGAAGAGGAAACTGGTAGAGAGGCATTTTCGCGCCATTCGAGCTCATTTCTTTCGAGTTACGAATTATTTTTGATAATATTAATACTTTATTAAGGCACGTAAATTATGAAATAACTTTTTTTATAATGATAATTATAATAATATATAGTTTTTATTTTTTTATTCTTTATAGATAAGGGGTAATTGCATCCCAATTTACACTTTTAATTATTAATATTTATAAAGTTTTTCATTGATTTGCACTAATGTAATATTTCCCTGATAAATAAATCACAAAATTCATAAATTATGTGTAAATAAAACAATTTAAAAATAAAAAAATAAAGATGAACAATCAAAGTTGTGTCATTTTACATTTTTTTTCCTCCACACGTAGAATGCACAATTTCGTTAGTTTTGATTGACCATTAATTAAAAAGATAAGGATTTGAGTCACGGCTATGGTTGAAAGATTTTAATTAATTTTATTTATTATTTAGGACTTCCAAGTAAGTTCTCTAACAAATCTCTTCCATACATGTTGTGTGAGAATGATAGATTTGTGAAAAAAAATATTCAATAAGTATGTTCGTATTTACAAATGAAGGAATTTTGAGGGTTTTGGGAGATTTTTTGAGTAATTTTTAACTAATCAGTTTGATTGTTTGGATAGTTTTTACACCGACAACGAGATCCGACCACCGATCTCCTCCTCCCTCCTCTGTCCTCTTGCGACCAACAATCATCGATCTTCTCTCACCCTCTCTCCTCTGTCTTGCGACCACCATTCTCCGCATTAAAGATTGAAAGCCCAAGCAGAGTTTAGAACAAAATAGAGTATAGCAGAGTTTTCAAACTTTGAATTTTTCTATCATTGAACTGTTATTGCTTACTACCTATGATCTTTCTAAAGTTCTACTTTAATAATCTCTGTTTGGTTAACACTCTGTTTGGATGGAGGGATTTGGTTTGAGAATTGGAAACCCTTTGTTTAGATGGTTAAGTAAGATAGATGGTGAGACCAAAGTTGTGTTTTATTTTTGAGATTATTTCATTTTTATCCTTACACTTTTACGCGATGTTCAATGATTCTCCCAGACTACTCTTATTTTCATGCGTACCCCCATACTATTTAAGTTACTATCAATTTTGCCCATGCCGTCACATTTGAAATGGAAAATGTTTAAAAAATTACATTTTGGCCCCAAATTTCAAAAGAAAGATGCAAACCAGCCCTCCTAACACTTCTCCACCAAACTCGACTTCCTGGGACGAATCCTCGCCATTATCGAAATCTTCATGGTCCTCTCACGCCGCTCAAATCGACGATTACTATTCATACACAGGCCTAATGGGTTCTCTTGTTCGCAAAGAAGGCTATATATACTCGCTTGCCACCTCTGGCGACTTGTTATACACTGGTTCTGATAGCAAGAACATTCAGGTATGGAAGAATCAGAGGAGTTTTCTGGTTTCAAATTGAATAGTGGGTTAGTTAAAGCCATTGTAATTGCAAATGAAATCATTTTCACAGGCCATCAAGACTAGAAGATTCGATTATGGAAAGTGTCTGCGAAGAATCCAACAATTCACAAACGAATCTGGACTTTACCCACGTTGAAACCTTATATAAAGAGCTTGATCAATCCGAGCAATTATGTTGAGGTGAGAAGAAATCGAAATACGATTTGGATCAAACATTTCGATATGATTTCATGTCTTAGTTTGAGCGAAGACAAATCTTTGTTATACTCAGCTTCTTGGGATAAGACAATGAAGGTTTGGAGAGTATCGAATTCAAAATGCTTGGAATCAATTCATGTTCATGATGACGCGGTGAATGCGGTGGTTGCCGGATTTGATGGGTTGGTCTTCACCGACTCCGCAAATGGGATTGTCAAGATATGGTGGCGAGAGATGCAAGGGAAATGTACCAAACACTTTTTTTCATAGAACTGCACCATATGAGTTGTAATGTTTTGAAATTTTTAAAATTAGTTTTCGGACAACTTTCGGTATGCCAAAACCGTCCATTACACGAAGAAGTGAGAAAGCGAGATAGTGTAGGGCGAAGTGGGAAGTGGGGTGAAGAGAATGGCGAAAGAATGAAGTAGAACCGTCAATAATCGAGAAAGATATGAAGTTCGAAAGATGGCTTGAAGAAAAGTAAAAAAGGAGAAGAAAAGTTTTTTTTTTTTTATCAACTTTCAGAGCTCCGATAGCATGCAAAAAGAGGAAGAACGAAACGTGTGAGATGTGATATGAAAACTAGATCGTGAGTTGAATCCAGTGACGTAAAAATGAGGTGAAACAGAGTTATGACGAAGGAGATAAAAGGGCTTGAAGTGGTGGTTGGTAGTGGTGGTGGTGGTAGTTTGCTGGTAGCAAATGGTGGGTTTGCATATTTTTTTTTGAAATTTGGGGCCAAAATGTAATATTTTTAATGTTTTTCGTTTCAAATGTAACGGTAGAGGAAAAATTGATAGTAACTTAAATAGTATGGGGGTATGCGTGAAAATAAGAGTAGTTTGGGGGTCATTGAAAATCGTGTAAAAGTATAGGGGTAAAAATAAGATACATCTCTTTATTTTTTTACCAAAAGTGATGAGATTTGATAAGGAAATAATTGAATTTAATGAAACTTATTTAAAATATGAAAATTATCCTTATAAAAAAATAAATTATTA